AAATCTCGAGATCGAGTTTTTGCCCGGACACTGCCTTTAAAGCATTTTATTACTTATCCATTTTCGTTGTAGTACAATACGGAAGAAGGTATTTACTTTACGGACTGCGATGGATTCCCGAAAATCCAATTTGTTATTGGTAACAACAATTACACCGTGAAAGGACACAGCGTACTGATAACATTGGAAGAATTCAAATGCTATTTGGCCCTGTCAAGCATAGATTCGGGCTCCTTTGGACCTAGTTGGATTCTTGGAGAACCCTTCATCAGGCAGTACTGCAACGTTTATGACATGGAGAAGGAAAGAATTGGATTCAGTACATCACTTCCAGAAGAAGAAGGTTAGAAGTAATGGACCATTGTAGTCACAGATGTATTGAATGACTCCATGTTTTACAATAAATATGTCCTCTCGTACGATTAAACACCGAATAAAATTTGATTTGATACTGATTCTACGCACAAAGTTTTGTCCATGACTGACACGCAAGATCGTCAGTTTTGGGTGGACACGACAAATGAGGTATCACGTTGTCTTCTCCTCACTTCCATTCACTCGTAATTCGCTAGAGGTTGCTTGGATTCATATCTCCGCGCACCTTAAAGGGTATGTCGTGATTTCAGAGTGAAACTTTTTGTCTTTCACTCTTGGTATGTCGTATACTTGTATATTGTACTGCTTCAGCAACAGTCAAGATACAGAAGTTTCAAAATTTCAATGGCCGCCTTTTATGCGACTTCGCATCGTCAGAGCCTGGAAAGCCAAAGTCTGCGATCTTTCCTCTCAGTGGTCAACAGAAGAATCAGATTTACATTTGACCGGCTACCTCGAAATCAGGGTAGCCGAAAACACCTCCGATAACCAGCACGAAAGCACTAGCGAACGTGTTTGGACAACCATTCCCCAACTCTTTTTGTATATGCGCACGACCAAGTCCAAAAAGGATCGATAGACTGGTAACTCTTGAGTGATGGTAATACTTCCGGACTCCGCAAGAACGACATCCCCTGTGCTTTTTGCTCCAAAAGCGAAGTCCAGCCTGCTTCCAGA